TGCCTGTAGTCCCAGCTACTCGGGAGGCTGAGGCAGGAGGATTGCTTGAGCCCAGGAGTTTGAGGTTGCTATGAGCTAGGCTGACGCCACGGCACTCACTCTAGCCTGGGCAACAAGCGAGACTCTGTCTCAAAAAAAAAAAAAAAAGTCATCTCCTGTCTCCCCACCCCCCTTCTGAAGATGGCAGTGTGTCAGTGACTAAACATGAGATGTGGACGCGAGTTGGTGGACACAGGGCCGGCCCTCGACGCAGCAAGGTTTCCGGGCGAGTCCCCTGCTCAGTGTCAATACCTACTGAGGGTGTTGCCCAGCCTCCGCTACCTGCAGATTTGTTGGGGGAGGGAGGACAATGACTTGACCATGGTCTTTTAGCTCATCCATCCATCCATCCACCCACCCACCCCTTCATCTATCCATTCCTCTGTCTGTTCATACATCCATCCACCTACCCCTTCATCCATTCTCCCACCCACCCATCCATCCATTCATCCATCCATCCGTCCAATCACCCCTTCATCCATCCATTCATCTGTCTGTCCATCCATCCATCCATGTGTCCATCCTTCCACCTACCCATCCACCACCCATCCATGTCTACATCCAGACGTCCACCTACTCATGTGCATTGAGACTTCTGAGTGCAACAGGATGCTGTGCTGAGCACAGGAATGTGGGGACAGGGTGACTGAAGTGGCCCCCATTCTCTGAGAATTCACGGTCCCCTGGGGAGAGCCGGACACTTTCACAAGCTGCTCCAAAATGAGGCCATCTACGAGCCCCGTGGCCTTGGTGGGGGACCCCTCAGCACACACGGCTGAGCCCCGGGCCCTCATTGACTCCGACCCCAGCAGACCCATGATGAAGAGGGAAAGGAATGGCACAGACACCACTGCCCAGCCCTCCGGGGCAGCACCCGCTCGCCTCATGCACGATGGGTAATGGGGCTTCACCTGCTGCTTTGGAGCAATGAGCCAGGAACCTCCAGTGAGTGTGTGTGTGTCCCTCCTGTTGTTCAGGAGCATGAATGCCGCCCCAGTTTCAGAGTCTCTGCAGGCAGGGAAGGGACCAGCTGGCTTTGCTGGGGTGGAGGGGAGGAGGAAGAGGAGGAAGATTTCTGCTCCTAGGATCACTGCTCAGCAAGTCTGCCCTGGGTGGTGGGCACCGAGCCAGCCCCCCAGTGCAGAGCACAGCCGGGGCTGACACAGGCCTCTGGGGCAGGGCTGGGCTACCACCTCCACCCTCCCAGCTGGCATGCCACCCCAGGCGGCAGCCCTGGGCAGACAGCAGGACACAGGGCCCTGGCCTAAAGCATGGCACCCGCCTTGGACCATGTGCTCACCTTGCTGTCGCCAGGCCCACGGAGCACTTCACGCTGTGACAGTTGATGTCGGGATGCTTGGGAGCAGGGGTTGCCAGTGTGTCCCCCGACAGAGCCCCACCTTGCCAGGGGCTGGCACACCCCAGATGCCTGGTAAACAGTTGTTGGGTGAATAAGTAGGAACCGAATGAAGGATTCGGAGAACAAGAGCAGGCACGTTCTGCGGAGCGAGTGCCGTAGGGGGAGCACAGGGCACTTGCGGGGCTCCTTGGCAGGGCAGGTGCCTCACCTGAGGCCAGGGAAGGAAGGCGGAGGCAGCCAGGCTGACAGGACAGGAGCCAGCCAGGGGGCTTTGCAGATGTGGAGGGAAGCAGGCAGCACCCAGAGTAGGTGCTAAGGTTTATGGTGGGAGTGAGGTGTGCGTGGCTCCAGGCTGCAGTGGAGGCTTGGGGTGCGGAGGCTCAGGTGAGAGAGGAGGCTGCTGGCAGGTGAGCAGTCGCTTCCCCACCGTGCACTCCTCTTCCCCGGAGCAAACCCAACATTCGACGAGGACACAGACTCCTGCCTGTCCCCGGGGCAGCCGTGAGTGGCAGACCCGTCCCCATCTGTGCTGGGGTCCCTACATGTGGGTGGGGGCTCCAGGCAGACATGACCTCTGTTCTTTCAGGCGACAGGGCCCCTCCCTCACCACAGACACCAAGGCGAGGGTGGGCACCTCGCCCTCTCAGAGGGATATGCCCCAGCTGTGCTTGCCGTGGAGGACGGGGAGCGAGCGAGGCTGGAACCCCCTCCCTCTCGCACCTGCACCTGCACCCCGCCCTCTGACACTAGGAGAGACTCGGTCCTCTCCATTGGGGTGGGCGGGCTTCCCGCCAGGGCTGCGGCCGATGCCCCGGGCCAGTGGTTCCCACAACACAGCAGATTGCCGGGGACGTCTGGGGCGGGGCCGAGACTCTGCGTCCCCAGCTGACAAGCTCCCAGGGGTGCTGATGCTGTGTGTCCAGGCACCCCACTTTGAGAACCACAACCCAGAGCACTGCTGGGCACCCCCAAAAGTCTGGGCTTCTAAAAAGCCCCTGGGGTGACTGAGGGGCCGGGGCGTGGAGCAGTGGTGGCGGTGGCGGGCGGCAACGGAGCAGCCATGAGGGCGGGGCCCAGTCACCGACAGTGAGTGCTTGGTGGAAGGGGAGTGGGCAGCGGGGCAAGAATTGGGGCGCTGGCGGAGGGATGCCACGACTTGAGGGGTGGCTTTGCGTGTCGATAGTGGAGGGGGGCTGAGGGCAGGTACAGTTTCTGGAGGTGATGGGAGAATTTGGGGCACCGGTGGCCAGGCCATCGGCCCCACAGCTGGACAGCTTGGTGGAGTGAAGGGATTGCGTGCTGTGGGGTGAAGGAGCCCACGGCGGGGCCAGTGTCCTGCGCTCCCCCATTTGTCGTCATCCCTTCCCCCAAGAGCTTTCGGCCGCCTCTCCCTTTCTGAGAATGGTCGCGGAGGAGAGGGTGATGGGGGATGGAAGCGCCCTACTGGAGCTGGAGAAGCCAACTCTCAATCAGGCAGGGAGAGTCAGTTGCCCCGAGTGATAGTCGCCCCGAGTGATAGTCGCCCTGAGTGATAGTCGCCCCGAGTGATAGTCGCCCCGAGTGATAGTCGCCCCGAGTGATAGGCTGCCCTGGGTAGAGGGTGGGAGTCGGGAGCCCCCTGTTTAAAGCCAAGAGGGGTCTGGGAAAAAGAACTGGGGGCTTAGAGTCGGACAGGCTCAAAACCAAGTTCACCGCTGATACAGATGATAAATAACCTTGGGCAGGTCCCACTTGACCTTTCTGAACCTCAGGAAGATGTGTTTCAGATGGGCTCTTGCAAGCATCGCGCGTATGATTGAGATTGCTTATGAAAATTGTAAATTGTAAGTGCTACGTCGATGTTAATATATTGCCATCGATATTACTGAATTTTAGAACCTACTGTTATTAATGGAATGGACTGATTTCTCTGTCAATGTGACAGAGAAACAATGTGTCAAGCATATTGTTTGTAAATCCTCAATAGACACATAGGTGCTTTTCTTCATGGGTCACAGCAGATCAGAAATACCAGTTTGTATATAATGAGTGAGATGTGCACCATCTGGGGGATGGTCATGCTGGAGACTCAGACTTGTGGGGGGAGGGGGGAAATGGGCATTTATTGAAACCTTAAAATCTGTACCCCCATAATATGCCGGAAAAAAAAACTTAAAAAAAAAAATAAGCCCGACGAAAAAAGACAACAACTCTATGATTCTACTGATATGAAATACCTAGAGAAGTCCAATCCATACAGATGCAAGCAGAATGGTGGAGGGAGAGACTGGGAACAAAGAATTGTTGTTTAATGGGTATAGAGTTTTACCTTTATAAGACAAAAAGAGTTCTGGAAATTGGTTGAACAATAATGTAAATATACTTGACACCACTGAACAAAGGACTTAGAAATGGTTAAAACAGTGAATTTTATGTTATGGATATTTTACCGCAATTAAATTAAATAAAAGTTACACACACACACACACGCGTGCGCGCACACCCCAGATTCTATAATATTGTTCTGACAATTCTTCAACTTTTAGTAACTAAAGAGCAGTCTCTCCAAAGGAAGTGACCGGACACTTAAAAGGTCTTGAGCTAAAGTACAGGAAATTTAGAAGAAGTTTATTTCTCTACGTATTTCATCTATACCTTGCTCTCCAAGTGAATTACTAATTGTTATGTATAAACAGAGTATATCCTGATTAAAAAAAAAAAAAAAAGAAATACCAGTTTGTTCTGTAATGTGACAAATTAGCCATTAGACTTGTTTAGGGGGGAAAAAAATTAAATTAAATTAAAAAAAAATAAAAAATAAATGAATAAATAAATAAAAAGCCCCTGGAAGTGGCTGGGGGCGGGGGGCACTTTCCCCTTCCCGGGCAGCAGGCCTTCTGGAGGGAAGGGACGGATCTTCGGGACATTTCGGGGATCCTTGAGGCAGAGACCAGAACCTTCCAGGCCCCACGGACACGCCTCACAGTACCGCCACCTCCAGCTGTCCCCCCTGGGCTGTCCTCCACCCCGCTTCCCGACGAGGAAACCAAGGCGTGAAGGCCTTGCCGGGCTGGGAGGGGCGGGCCGGCCGCGACGGGGCGGAGGGCAGGACCCTCCTGCTTGGAACGCCCCGTGTCCTGGCTGGCCCGGGGTCAGCACCCTGGAGGTGACGGTTGTGCAGGATGTCACTGTTGGGGACCGGTGGAAGGTGCACAGGTCGCTCTGTTCACTTCTTATAGCGGCAGGCAAGTTGCAGTTATCTCAAAATAAGACGATCAATTTTTAAAAATCGGTTTTTTCAATCGGTTATTTTTTTATTGGTTATTTTAAAAAATAGGTTATTTTTAAAAATAGGTTTTTTTAAAAAAAAAAAAAGGTCTTTAGTTGTACGCTCAGGTCTGACAAGCCTGGGCAGGCGGCGTCTCGCCCAGCCCTGGCTGAGCTGGTGTCCGCGCCGTGGCACCACCATTCGGGGGGCCTGGAAGATGCCACTGAACATACGGTACGGCGCCCGCACCACGGAGGCTTCTGGAAAACCTCTGCCTGGCTGAAAGGCACAGTCCCCCGCGGGCTCCGGGAGAGGCCGCACCCTAACCGGGCCTCGCTCTCTCGCCCTCCACAGAGCGACCAGGACGCCACGGCTCCGCCTGAAGCCATGGCCCAGCCCTACCCCCCCGCCCAGTACGGACAGAACGGCATCCCGGCCGAGTACGCCCCGCCCCCGCCGCACCCCGCGCAGGACTACCCCGGCCAGACCCCGGTGCCCCCGGAGCACGGCATGACCCTGTACACACCAGCACAGACCCACCCCGAGCAGCCGGGCACCGAGGCCAGCACGCAGCCCATCGCCGGGACCCAGACCGTGCCGGTAAGGGGCGCGCGGGCCCGGGCCAGCCCAGGAGGGCCTGCAGTGGCGCGTGGGCGGGTGGGGGGACGGGCCTGGGGGGGCTCTGCGTGCACTCAGGAAAGGAAGGGGTGACCCTAGCGAAGGGTCACCCCCAGCCCTGCCCTGGAGCCCCTCGTCCTCTGGCACCAGAGGGCCACAGAGGGACCGCCGGGCACCCGGGGCTCCAGGCAGGCTCTCACCTGGCCTGGGAGGTGGAAAGGGTGTTCTTGCACGGCGACCTGTTAATGGAGACTGGGGAGACCGAGGCCGGGGGCGGGCGTGTGGCGGGCGGGCGTGTGGCGGGCCCGTCTGGGGTTGCAGCGGCTATCATTTCTAATCACTTGTAATCTACCTGCTTGGCTGCCCTCCAATCAGATAGCCTCAATTATGTGGTTGTAATGCAGCTCCCGCCAAAGTGCTGAGCTCCACACTTCTCAGATTTCCTGACAGCAGAGGGGGTGGGCACGGAGTGGCCGGCCTGGGGTGGACCCCCGACCCCACCCCTGGGACAGAGACCAGGTGGTGGCACTGCCCTGCCCCTGCCCCAACCCCCAAGCCCTCCCCCCTGCCTGCTCCGGCCCCTCCCTGGACCTCTCCACTGCGCCCCTGTGCTTCCCCCACCCTGCTCTGGCTGCGCTGGCTGGCGGGGCCGGGAAGGAGGCCAGCACCGTCTGCTCTGCCCTGGAGTGGCACCACCCTGGCGGCCTCCCCTGGGGGCCCCTCCGAACTGTGCTCCCTCGGCCCTCCCCAAGTCCAGCCCGGCTCCCAAGATACTGCGTGGATCCAAATATGCCCCTCCCCGCCGTGCAGGGCAGGGGCCCCCTCCAGCATCACGTGAGCTATGTGTGCAAAGCACCCCCCCAGCTGCCCGCTGGCTGGGCCCAGCCCTCATCGGGTGCCCAGTCGGTGCCCTTCCTCCTGGCCGGGAGCTCTGCCCAGCCCGGGTCTGCGCCGGGGCCATCAGCCCCTTCCATCCATCCCCTCAGCATCCTGACACGGAACGTCTCCCGTGGACCCCCCAGGTTCCTACGGCTGCAGGCCACACGTGGAAAAGGCCAGGCCCACGGGGTGGTCGCACTGGGGGCCGGACCGTACTCCTGGGCTGCCCTGGTTCTGATTCACCCAGACCGCGTGTGCCCGGAAGAGACAGAGGGGATCCCGGGAGGCAGAGCAGGTTAACTGTAAACAAGTCACAGCACAGCGACCATCCCTTTCTGATGGGCCACAGCAGACAAGGCTTGTCTGGTCAAAGCTCTGATAATGTCTTCATGAGCAAACGAGGGGTCTCTCACGGGGAGCCCCAAGGCTCGTCCTGGAAGAAACAGAGGTGACAAGACAGAGTCACAGATGACACAGAGTGGGGACAACTCAGGACAACAACTGAGCAGAGACAAGGCCTCCTGGACACCCTGCGGCCGCCGGGCACAACCCACCAGGACATGTGACATCTGCCCTTGCTCAGCAGACGCTTGCTGGGCACGTCCCACGTGCCAGGCACGGAGTGTGAGCTGGGAGGATGGAGAAGTGACCAGCCCTGTCCTCTGGCCCCCACCAGTCACGGACAGAACAGTCAGACGGGGAGGCCTGAGAGAGTCCTCGGCCCTGGAGGAACCCGGCGTGAGCAGCAGCTGCTGTGAAGGCCGGCGCTGCGTCCGTCCAGAGAGGAGAACGTCCCAGCCCGCAGGGCGAGAGTCTCGCTGCACAGGTGGCCGGACAGGAGCCTCCCCAGGAGAGCACCCGGGCAGAGACAGCGGAGCGGGGGATGGACAGGCAGCCCTGCCCTTCCTTTCCTCGGGCGGGTCCTGCAAGGGGTCAGGAGGAGGTCACCATGGGGATGCAGAAGACCCAGGTATTCCGTGAGACCAGGCCACACGCAGGGCTGCAGGTGGAAGTTACTGGATCAGCAGTCGCAGCAGGACCTTGGGAGCACCCAGAGCTGCCCCACGGAGACCTGGCTGCCCCTGGGGGCCTGAGCTCTCTGACCTCGGAGCGTTTATTCCAGCAGAGCCTTCCCACCCCGGGACGGAGCTGCAGAGGAAATCCTGAGCCCAGAGAGGCCGCCGGCATCTCTGCTGTGTCAGGTGTCCCTGAGCTTGTCCTGTGGACACCGGGAGGGCTCTTTCAGCTCGCCCCAGCCTCCCCTTGGCCCTTCCCCGAGCAGCCTGGTGTTAGGATCGAGAGGTACGGGGTGGCAGTAGGGGTGGACTCAGAGCTCTGATCCACACCTGCCCGGGTCAGGGCATGTAGCACTCCGGCCGGCCGTGGGCCCAGACGCTGCCCAGGGCACCGGGCCTTCCTGCCCTCTGCCCCGAGGGGACGTCCCCCTGCTGCCCAGTGCACAGGCTGCCCTGGTGGGAGGCACGGCCAGGGCCCACGGGAAGGGGGACCCTGAGAGCTGGGCCAGCTCCCACGTCACCTGTCCCACTGGGAGCCATCGAAGCCTGTGTGGTCCTTGGACCTGGGGCTGTTGGTCTGTACGGGAGCCGCCCCCACCTCAGCACCCCGAAGACTGAACACTGGGCCTCGGCTCGGGAGAGGCTTTCCTGGAATTTCTGGGAACACCAGGCCTCTTCCTCCTCCTCCTCCTCCTCCTCCTCCTCCTCGCTCAGGAGGGTTTCCAGACGGGAATTTGTGGGAATCCCTGTTCCAGCAACTTCAGGGCCCTTCCGGACACCTCCACCCCCCAGGCGAGATGCCAAAGCCCCCCCAGTCACGGCGGCACAGCTGACCCTGCGAGGAGAACGTGGCAGCTCTGGGGACCCCAGGTCCCTCTCCACACCGGACTCCGGAAGGCCCGGGCTCAGGCGACCCACGGAAGCAGAGCTCACGCTGATTTCCGTGGACGTGACGCCCTCTGGGGCGGGTCCTGACCGCAGGAGCAGCGGCTAGCCGGGGGCTTGGAGTCCTGCGTCGTTCAAACCAAGTGCAAGCGGGAGCCACAGCTCTGCCATTGCAGGGGCTGCCCAGTGCCGCGGCCCAATGGACGGCGCAAGATCACACTGAGAGGACCCTGCCTCCCTCCGAGCTGACTGGCTCCCCCGGGGGCCGAGCCACGTGCAGCCATCGCAGCAGACGGCGGGTCAGTGCGTGAGCCCCCGGGTCTCTGCAAGAACAGGTGGGCGAGATGAGGCTGCAGAGGAAGGAGACTTCCAAGAGCCGGTTCGTCTTGTACAGCCACGTCAGCAAAGCTCGGCTCTGTCCCCGGGAGGGACTGTGGGGTCCTGCTTGCTGCCCGGGGTCTGCCTGGACCCCCTTCCCCCTGCCTGGGACCGGCTCTCTTGGCCTCTCTGTGCTGAGCGTGGGGAGGCCCAGGCGAGGGGGGTGCAGGCCCCGGGGGACGGAGAGTTTGCACTGGGTGGCATGGAGACCCTGCCCCTAGCCCACCGGGAGCTGGCTCCTGGCCTCCAAGGGGGCGGGGCGGCAGGGGGTCCATGATGGGCCACGAGGCAGAAGCAGAGCCACCAGGTCCAGGGGGAGGGCCAGGGGCACAGGTGTCGTCTCCTCGTTCCCTGCACTTGGGAACTGGAAGCAAAGACTGCTTTGTAAAAAGGAGGGGAAAGGCCCTGGGGACAGCGGCTGCCGGAACCGCGGTGATAAATGGCAGGAAGGCCTCGGTCTCCCCTCGGGGGCCGCCAGCGTGCAGCTGCGCTCTGGGGTTTCTCGGCACATCTCACAATTTCACAGTCATTGGACCCACGTGTCTGCCTGTCCCCGGCAGAGCTGGGGGCCGCGGTGGGGGCAGGGGCTGCTCCCCTTTAGGGCCTTCAGGGTGGAGTAAGGGGGCCGGGCTCCATACTCCCCTGCCCCCTTGGGGCCGTGCTCTCTGCCACAAGTGGTGCCTAGCCGTGCTGACCACTGCCCTCTGCTGGTGCAAGGCGGGCACTGCGTGGCCCCGTCCAGGCTGGATCCCAGCGCAGGTGGCACCCAGGAGCAGCCCAGGGCTCGGGAGTGCACAGTGCACAGGGAGGGAAATCAATGAGGCCTCCGTGCACCCTGGCCACTGCACGGATCCACCAAAGAGGAAAGCGCCACAACTGTCGTGGCCGGAGCATGGAGCTCCAGCCTACATCAGGGTCAGCTGCAGCTTGGACGATCTTGCCTTGGTTCAAGGCTAAGGTTGACCCCTCCATACATCTGGCACAGGCTTGCTTTCTGCAAGAAAGATCGGGCCAACCAGGACAGCAGCAGAACTGGGAGGCCTGTCACTCATGGGACCTGGAGCAGGCCAGACTGGGAATCTCTGGAGGCCTGCTGTCCACTCCCCGGCCCTGCCAGAGCCCTGGCTCCCACCGATGGGCTCCTGCGGGGAGACTGGGGGACCCCACCCTCCGGCACGGCTGCTCCACTGGATCAAGTCGGCTGGAGCCAGGACCTCTCGTACCATCCGCTGGTCCCTTCCCAGAAGCAGACCCCGGCACAGGGACTCAAGCACAAACAGCGTATTTGGGAGGGGATCCCACCAAGACCCCGAGGGGCAGCAGGAAATGGAGCAGGACAGCAAAGGAAGCCCATGGCAGGTGCTTGCTCAGCCCGTCGTCCCCACAGGCAGCCAGGCCCGACCCTGCTGGAGGAAGTGGGGACAGCGAGCATGACCTCCAAGGACCCCGATCTGGAGACCCCCAGGAGCTGGGGCGCCCACCCACCTGCCTGTGTCTGCTGCCGCCAAGGGCCTCTCCTGGATGCCGGCGCTCCCGTGCCACCTGGCAGCAGGCTGAGCAGGCGAGCAAGTCGCAGGGTGACGTCTGCGGCTCGGGTGCTCCCACGACTGGCCCGCGCACCCGTCCGGCCAGCGCTGGTGAAGCCCGGCCTGCCTTTGCCTCCGTGGGTGCGGCCAGGACCCAGCCAGGCTGAAGGCCAGCCTCGCCGTGAGCTCGCGGCCCGTCTGCAGGAGAAGCCCACGTGGGAAGCGCCTCTCACGCGCACGCCACACGGAGCCACCTCCGGGCGCCATTGGCCTCTTTCCCACGGGGAGCTGGGGCTGGGGTGTGGCACTGGAGCCGCTGTGCATCCCGAGACCCGAGTCTTTCGGAGCCCACCTGCCCACCGCGTTTGGGTCCGAATGAGAACTAATTGTGAAGGACTGAACTTGGCCGCCCGTGCCTTGGAAGGGACTCCTGGAGCTGGCCCCGGAGCTTCTGAGTGGCAGCCACAGGGCTAAAATAAGCAGGAGCCATGGGTGGGGAGGGGTGGCCCAAAGGGCCGGCACCCCGCAGAGACGTGCCCGGCAGGGCCAAAGTCCGTCTCGAGAGCCAGAACGGCCCTCGTGCCCCCAGAACTTCCTCGAACGTGGTAGTGGATGGGCCAAGAGCCCACCGAGGGCCGAGCGCTGTGGACAGGCCTGAGCTGAGGGCGTGGAGGGCAGACGGGGCCGGAGGCCTCACTCGGACGGCAGGAGGGAGGTGGCCTCACGGCCAAGTCTGGGCAAAGGCCTGGAGGTGGAGCTCTGGGGTTGGGTGCTGCTGGGCCGTCCCTCGTGGGAACCGTCTGCCCAGGGTCTCTCGAGGTGGCGGCCGGGGATGGGAAGGGCCTGGGGGTGGGGGGAGAATCTGGCCTCCAGACGCCCCTCCCTGTGGCACCGGGGCCAGGCAGGCCCCAGCACCCTGGCGGCAGCCTCCCCAGCCGGGTCCTCTCCGCAGCAGACAGACGAGGCGGCACAGACGGACAGCCAGCCGCTGCACCCCTCCGACCCCACAGAGAAGCAGCAGCCCAAGCGGCTGCACGTCTCCAACATCCCCTTCCGGTTCAGGGACCCCGACCTGCGGCAAATGTTCGGGGTGAGTGTGCCGGGCCCCTCGGGAACCGTGCCCCACAGGGGCTGCCTTTCTGCCCACGCCTGCTCTGGGGTTCCTGCCTCCCGCCACACGGCAGCTGCCAGGGCACCAGTGGCTATCCTTCCCTCCCGGGCCTGGCCCACTCCGACCTGAAGCTGCTGAGCGGGGAGGAGGGGTTGAGAAGTATACTGTGGCCGTTCCTGTCCAGAATCCGCCCACTCCTCCCCATATCCACGTGCTCAGGGCTTCAGAGACTCCCCTGGGGCCCAGCAGCCAGTTTGGTCATGACTCCCCTCCCCCTATCCCATCTTCTGATCCTGCCACCCGCCCCTCAGAGGGCAACTGCAGAGGCAGCCCAGCCTCCCGGCCTCGTGCAGCAGAGGCCCAGGACTGGCTTCTCCTGTGCACCTGGGGCCTGCGCGCCTAACCTCTCTGGGCCCGTGTCCTCCGGGCTCCCGGGCGGGGCAACCGGAAAGGCGCAGTTATGGCAGGCAAGCTCGGGGCAGTTCCCGTGCGGGGCTGTCGGTCTCTTCCGAGATCATGCACTGTGGGTTTCAGCCACATGCGGTGTCAGGAGAACACGCAGGGCCCTGGGGTTACTTCGTTCCGTCACTGGACTTGAGCACCTGGCGGTGCTGACACCAGCAGGGTGGGGCTGCCGCTCGGGTGGGATAGCAGACAGTGCCAGGTGGCTCAGTGGGCATGGCACAGCCACCGAGGCCCACACGGCCTGGCCTGTCTCTCCCCTCACTCCGTCCTGCCACCGCTGTGCCCACCCCACCTCACTGCACAGCTGGGCAGCCTCTGACCCCTGACCCCAGCCCCCCTACACACACCAGGGATTGGGCAGGAAAACCAGAGGTGGCTCTGGAGCAGCCCGGGGTGGACAAGTCCCAGCACCCACCCCCAGCGGGAATCCCCCAAAGTCCGTTCCCCGTCTCGGGAGCTGGGCCTCACTGGGTCTGGAGCTTAGACCCACTGAGGGGCATAATTCAGAACCGCCAGACCTCTCAGCCTGGCCTGGGCAAGCTGCCAAGCCCCCCGAGCCTGGGGCCCCCGAAAACAGCTGACATTATGGGCTCTGGCTGACCTTCGCTCTCGATGTGCTTCCGCTCACTGGGTCCCCACAGGACACGGAGACCAACACGCATCAGCTCACCGGGCCCCCACAGGACACGGGGACCAACACGCATCAGCTCACTGGGTCCCTGCAGGAGGGGGCATGTCCCCCTCTTCCTGTGCCCAGCAGAAGTGGGGCCTCGTGACCCCTTAGGCCCCACCTCCAAGCATGTCTGGAGGTGAAGGGGAGACCCCCATCAGTCGCCTGCCTGGGAGGCTCCAGGACGGGCCCCGGGGAACCTCAGAGCATCGTTAGGGGACCTGGTTTGCAGGTGCAGACCGCCAGCAGTGCAGGGCTCCTCGTCCTGCCCGTCCCAAGGAGGCCTGGGGGTCCCGGTTCCCAGCCAGGGATTCTGCTCTCCAGGGCCTCAACCCATCTCCCGGCCCCAGCCCGTTCCTTCTCCACGGAGCCTTGTCCCTTCCGGCCCATGCTCACCCTCTCCCCTCTGCATAGACCTTTAACCTTTAGTGTGAGTTGGGGTGGCTGTAATGCCTTAGGTGTCCCCTGCCCCAGACGGGGCCGGTGTGCCCATAGTTTTGAAAAGCTCCCCAAGGGGGAAGGCTCGATGCCCTCCTGTGGCAGGAGCGGGGAGGGGGTCCCTGGGGCCCCTGGGACAGAGGACAGACACCAGCGTCCCAGGAGTGGAGGCGCAGCTGGGCCGGCAGTCTTAACGCATCTCTCCTGTCTCCCCCACCCCCTCTCTGTCTCTGCAGCAATTCGGAAAAATTTTAGACGTGGAGATCATTTTTAACGAGCGGGGCTCCAAGGTGGGTGCCGCACGGAGGCTGCCACCATTACAGCGCCGGCTGTAGGTCCCGCCAGGCTAACGTGTGAAATGTGCGTTTCCTTCCTGGAGAGCTTCGCGCCCGAGGACCCCTGAGCGACACGGGTGCTTGTATTCCCCGCTCTTCCGCCCCCGCCCCGCCCCCACCCCAGCTGTCTGTGTCGTTGCTGCCACGCTGCTTTTCTCTCTGAGCCGCCGGGACCTCTTGCCTGCACCCCAGAGCCCTGGCCCCTGGGCCCGGGTCCCCACCCCACCGTACTGCTCGCCCCTGGGGCCACCGGCCTGTCTGCGCAGTTGGCCCGCAGGCCGGGGGAGGGGTTGCAGGGAGGGGAGGCGGGGAGGTGCCCAGCTAAGACAAGCCCTGTAGGATGGCAAGACCTACCCCCGGGCTCCTAGGGCGAAGGTGGGCGGGGCTGCCCCCCAAGGTCCCCACGCCCAGCCTCGGCCCCCACCTGACCCCGAGGTGGGGTCAGGGTGACAGGCCTGGCCCCTGGCCAGGTTAGCGTCTCTGACATAGCTTTGGCCTGTGCCCTTGGAGGTGCCAGGCGGTCAGCTCAGGCTGGGCTCGGGCCGGGCCAGCAGCTGCCCCCGCCTGGGGCCCGTCCACCCCCCGTGCATCCTGCCGGTGGCACCAGGACAGACCTGGGCCGCCTGCGTCTCTGCTCCAACTCACTGACTCCGCCCCTCTCTCTCTCCCCACCCGTCCCCCACCCACTCCTCCTCTTCCTCCTCTCTCATCCCGTGTCTCTCCGTGTCTGTCCTTCTCCTCTGCTCACAGGGTTTTGGGTTTGTAACTTTTGAAACTAGCTCAGATGCTGACCGAGCCCGGGAGAAGCTGAATGGGACGATCGTAGAGGGACGGAAAATTGAGGTGCTCAGATAAGTGTGCCATGGCAGGGGAGCCCCGAGGACACCTGCCGCCCCGGCCCCACCCAGCCCTCCACTGCCAGGCCCTGTGCAGAGCCAGGCTGGGGTCTCCGGTGGCAGGAGGAAGGAGCACCCCACACCCTCACACTGGCTTCAGGCCAAGCCACCTGCTGGTCTAGGCTTCAGGCTATCCTGAGGGTCCCGCCCTGCTCCTGCCTGCCCCCTCCCCTGCCTGGAAGAGGCTGCCCCCAACCAGATACCTAGGGAGCCCCCAGTAGGGCACGTTTTGGGCTTGGCAGCTTCCAGGACTATGGCAGCCCAGTCTGCCCCCAGCTGGGAGGATGCTAGCTCCACTCTGGAGCCATTAATGCCCCCACCTCTTGCCCCTGCCCCTCCCCACCCTGCCCAGGCCCTGCTCCTCCCTCACTCCCACCCTTGTCAGAGTAAGAGCACCTTCCAGGGCACCAACAATGACCAGGGCACAGAAGGGGCCTATCCCGGAAAGGCAGCAGGAGGGAGGCAGGGGCGGCCCTCCCAACAGCCACCCCTCTGCCCCTTCCCTTCCCTGGCCCCGGAGGCCTAGGGAGCCAGTGGGCTAAGTTCCCCTGCTGCAGCTCTGGGTGTCTGGGGCTGGGTCCCCACCAAGAGGGCAGCCAAGCGGTGGCCCGAAGAGGGAGGGGACCAGCAGGCAGAGGACCTGGGAAGGGGGTTTCTGGAAGCAGCAGGAGCTCTGAAGGCACTGACCGGGCCAGGCTGCAGCCCAAGGCCCTCCAGGCTCACGCCCAGGACGTGGGGGAGGCCGTATAGCCCAGACCCTCCTAGGCCCCCTGCCCTGTTCTCCACTCCCGTCCACAGGGGCCTGTCCTCTCCGTGCCAGGCTGGCCTCTGCACAGCCTCACGGGGCTCACATCCCTCTGGTCAGCTCCAGCCGGTGGGCACACAGGGCCCGTCCAGAGCTCTGTGCTGTGCAGAGCATCGAGGACTCTGGCCTCCGGGGAAGGGGCGCTGCCCTGGGACAGGCGTGGTCGTCTTGGTGCCCCTGCCTAGGAGGGCCTCAGCAGCCACGTGGGAGGCAGGGGTAGGAGAGACTATCTTGGGGGCTGGCCTGTCGGCTGATCCAAGAGCACTTTGTTGGGAGTCCACCAGCGAGCTTCTCAAGCTTCTTGGGTCACCAGAACCAGGCTGTTCGTGGGAACAGCTGCACGGAAATCACACCTGGCACGCTGGGCCTGCGTCCTGCCCTGGCGGCGTTAGCCAGTCGGGAGTGGCGGGGCCAGGCTTGCTGGCAGGCACGCAGCGCGGTGCAGAGGAGGCTGGGGCGGCCGGCTGGGTTCCCCAGGGGCCATGGGGGAGCAGGGTGGGGTGGGGCAGGGTGGCCACTGGGCCCTCCAGGAGGCTAACGCTCTGCCACCCTCTCCCAACAGGTCAATAATGCCACAGCCCGAGTCATGACCAACAAGAAGACGGGGAACCCCTACACCAATGGTAAGGGGCCAGGCCCCCAGAGGCTGCTGGCTTGGCCGTGCTGGGTGCCAAGTACACCCCCACCCCGCCATACCCAGCCCCTGCTGCTGCTCTGCCCCAGTCAGAAGGGGGTGGGTCGGCGAGGCAGGGGTGGGGCTGGGCCACCTGCACACAACACAGAGCTGGTGCGTGTGGCTTCCCCCAGCCTGTGCGGCACCCACAGCCCCCGGCAGAGGCTGCAGCCACAGAGGCAGAGCAGGGACTTCCTGGACTGTTAGTTTCCCCCAGGGACTCGTGTTCCAGGATGCTGTGGTCAGACCTGCTGCACCGACTCGTGGTGGGCATAGGCTCAGCAAGGGCAGGGGTGCCAGCGGCCTGGACGAGCTCTGGGCCTCTCTGAGTTCCAGTCTCTTTGTCTGCAAAGCAGCAATGGTGACACCGCCCCCCGTCCCCCAGGGCTGCTTCGTGACAACTTCTCTAAGTGTGCTCAGTATCCAGTGACTGTGCCAGGACTGAAGGGACTGTCCCCTGTGGGCTTTGGGGACACTGACAGAGCTGTGAGGTTGCCGGGGCAAACCCCACGGGCCCGAAAGGGGGGGAAACCAAGAAGCCCCGGCCGGGGCCCCGAACGGGCAACGAACCCGCCCCGCCTGCCTGAAAGGGGCCCCGCCGAAGCCAACGGCCGGCCGGGGAAAAAAGCAAAAGAAACAAGGGGGCAAGGGGCCACTGCCCATCCCAACTCCCTCCGGCGAGGGGCCTGCATGAGCACAGCTGGCCGTGTGTCCGGGGCCTTCTAGTCCCACCATTTGCAGGGACGGCGTCTCTGCTCAGACCTGTTCACAGCCACAGGACTGCTCAAGGACAGGCCGGTCTCCTTCCAGTGTGGACTCGTGGACTGAGTCACCCCAGCCTCTCATGTCCCTGTGTGATGGGCCCTACGTGCAGTTGGGTGGCCAATCAGCAAAAGGGCCTGGGGCAGGCCTGATGATCCACCCGCCACCCTCCCAGCTCTCCTGCCCGCACTTAGACTTGATTAAAGTGCCCCACCCACCCTGCTGTTCTGAGGACTTCCAGATCCCAAATTCATTTTTGTTTTTTTAAGTTTTTTTTATTTTAGTGTATGGGGGTACAAGTGTTAAGGTTACGTATATTTCCCATGCCCCCCAAATTCGTTTTAAAAATCTGGGGGTGCTCCGGCTTTGCCAGAGTCCCAAGTGCATCCTGGGCGTGACTCTTCTGTGGTCCAGCACTTGGCACAGGGAGTGAAAACAGACGTTTTTGCAGGGTGTGGGTCATGGCCTGGGCTACAAAACCCTTGCAGGCAGCTGCCCACTCTCCTCCCAAGAACAACCACATGGCGTCCCTTCCAGGCAGAACCGGGAACACCAAGGGGTGTGGGATGCAGCCAGGCCGTGTTGTCTCAGGAGGCCATGTGACCGGCGCCGTTTGAATGTCGGGGGCAGGGGGAGGCAGAACCCTCTGCCCATCGTTGCAAGAGCCATTTCACATAAATGCGTTTGTCAGCCTGGCGAGAGTAGCAAGGGCTGCGATGGGAGGGCCCTGGGTTCTCTGCAGGTTGGCACTGCAGCTGGCGCAGGGGCTCTGGCAGTCTGTGAGTGCGGCAAGGCGTGGCTTTGTACTCCTGAGCACTCTGACGTGCATCAGTGTGGGGAGTGGGTCCACTGCAAAAAACAAGCCCACCAGGTGTGATCTCTGTACAGTAGAAACAGAGGGGCCATGCAGGTGGTCTCAGGCTGCCTCTGTCATCTGGGGTTTCCAACGATGAAACGAGCCAGCAGAGGCAGGTGGAGGCACCCAGAGCACTAGAACTGACAGGTGGGGGGCCCAGGAAGCCAGCACGGGCAGGTGAAGGTGCCCAGGGCCGTCCGAAATAGACGTTCAGCCTCCAGGTCTCACTCATCCGGGAGGGACCCAGAAGAGCTGCTGGGATGAAAGGGGGGAAGGTGAGCTCGGGGCCAGTCCTCAGGACTCTGCTCCAACGTGGTCATTTCACTAAGAAGAGTCAGCACTTGGGGCTGGAGTCTTTCCCAGAAGACAAAACTTTTCTTCCCTCCTAACCTTGGACTTAGGGGCCCACACGTGAAAGTCTGCCAGTGATGCCCGGACCTGAGCCCTTCGCCGTCCTCTCAAACGTACCTCACCAGCTGGCCAGTGGGCTCGGGTCCCTCTGGGGCAAGGAGCCCTGCAGAGCATGCTGCAAAGACCTGGGCAAGCTGGAGGGAGGGACTGGATCTCCCCCCACCCTATGCAAGCGCCTGGGCCAGGCCTGCGCTAAGCCCGCTGGTTTCCATGGCGGAGGCCTCCAGGTAGATGCAGGTCTTCGCTGCTGCTCCAGTGGGAGCACTGGCCCCAGAGGGAGAGGAAGACTGGCCCAGCGCAGGCAGGGAGAGGCTGGGATGCAGATTACAGCTCGGGGCCGGGCAGTGGCCAGGGACTGGGGCTGCAGGTTCAGACCTGGCTCTGCCACTCAGCAGCTTGCCACTCTGGGTGGCTGTGCTCTCCGGGCCTCCGCTTCTTCATCTGCAGAATGGGGAGAGTGTGGCACCTACCTGGTGGGTGGTGATGAGCACCCAGGGGGTTCGAAGGGCATCCGTGACACTTGTGAAATGCTCAGGAAATACAATACTAGGTGCTGTCGTTATCATTACCCCAGGCCAGGGGCCCTTCTCCAGGCAGCCCTCCCAGGGGCTGCTTTGGGGAATGATGGGGACAGGAGGAAAGCCGTGGCAGCCCTGAGGAAAGGGAGCCCCTCGAGCTCGGAGCAGGAGGGAGACGCTGGGCGGGAGGCTGAGAGGTGTGGGCGGAGGCCAAGCTCCTGTCCTGCAGCTCTGACCCCACAGGACAGAACTCCATGACAGGCTGTGCTGAGACCGTGGAGGCCAGAGTCCCTCATCCCAGCTGTGGCTGCAGGCGCTCACATAACCGTGTTCCACCTTCCTTCCTAATTCTCTTCTTCGGAGATTGCGAGCCCCAAGTTCTGGGGCTGATTCCCTGGGAGGAGGGAAGCCCAGGGGCAGGCAGGGGTCTCCACAGTTTGGAATGAATCCAACAGGAGACCCAGGAGGATGGGTGGGGAGTGAACCGAGCCCTGGTGTTGGGGGCGCAGAGGGAGCCCGGCGCGTGGCTAGGCCGGGTCGCGTCTGGGGCCCCTGCGCCGCCCACAGTGGAGGCCGCGCCCTCGGAGCGTCCTGTGGGCTCCGCCGGCGTCGCTGGGGTTCCCAGGCGTAGGGTCAAGTGGGGAGAGGATGGGGAAGCAGGTGACAGGGTCTCTGCTTCCGTTCCAGGCTGGAAGCTAAACCCCGTGGTCGGCGCAGTCTACGGGCCTGAATTCTATGCAGGTAGAGCAGGGGTGGGGGCGGGGCAGGGGTGGGCCTGGCCGCGTGGGAACTTAGGGGCGGGGCTAGGGGAGGGGCCTGAGGGTGGTGGGCCAGGTGGGCGGGTGCGTGCCAGGTGGCCGGGGCCAGGTGGGGCTGCTGGCTCGGTCCCTTGCCCGCCCTCTGCCTTCCCGCTCACTCCTGTCCCGGCCCCCTCTCCCGCAGTGACGGGGTTCCCCTACCCCACCACGGGCACAGCCGTTGCCTACCGGGGCGCGCACCTACGCGGCCGGGGCCGGGCCGTGTATAACACCTTTCGGGCCGCGCCGCCCCCGCCCCCCATCCCGACTTACGGAGCGTGAGTACCCGCGGGGCGCGGGGAGGCTCAGAGAAAGGCGGGGAGCGGGCGGGAGGGAGCCCCTGGGCAGCGCGAGGGGCTGGGCACCCTTTCCACACCAGGGGGGCTGGGGGGGACCCCAGCACTCAGCACTGCACCCGCCCCCGTTGTCCCTCCCCCCACCCCCATGACAGCCGAAGCATCACCGAGATCACTGGCACTTAGGGGGACATTTGGAGCCCCCACACGTGGTCTGGATGCTTTGGTGGGGGCGTCATCGGCCCTCGAGCTAAGCCCTCTCCGGTCCCCTTGCCTGGGGCCCAGTGCCCCCCACCACTGGCGCGGGAGACAGCTACCTGGGGGAGGGCAGGACTGAGCCGCTGGGCCCCTGGGTTTGTGGGAGAGAGGAGCTGCCCAGCAAGGGTGTTACTCTATTGTTATACCAAAACAGGGCACTGGAGCAAACGCTTGTTAAAATGCCAGTCCCGTGGGCCGGGCTGGCACCGTGCCCCCTCCCTCCTCAGCAGACACCGGAGCCGGCCTACCCCACCTCTCCAGCGTTCCCACCACTTTCTTGTCCGTTTGCTTCCAGGGTCGTGTATCAGGATGGATTTTATGGTGCTGAGATTTATGTAAGTGTGGCCTGGGCGGGGAGGGCGGGTCAGGGGTTCTGATTGTCTGGGGGAGAAGTCAGTGTCCCCCCCTCTCTCCACCCGCTCTGCCTGCCCTACTCCCGAGCTAGAACTCAGGAGGGCAAGGGCCCCAGGCCTGCCCAGAGCCGTCCCTGTGGGTCCCAGCATGGCCCCGTCTGGGTGGGCTGTGCTCATCTGGGAGCTGCCCGGAGATCTCCCAGCAGCCCTATAAGCTGCCAGCATCTTCTCCATTAGCAAGGTGTCATCTAATGGGGCAGAGAGCGACTCTCCCACATCCCAACCATGGGGGGTGGGCAAGTGAGCCCCTGAGGGTACCATGTCCAGTACAGAGGACCCAAGAGAGACCAGCAGGCAGGGCTCCAACACACCTGTGCTCCTGGGCCTACCCCCCTCCCCACGTTCTGGTCCTGTCACTTCTCTCTCCCTTCCCGGGGCTGCTCTTACAGCTCCCCCTGGCTCTCAGCCTCGCTGGCATCCCCACCCCATGTGCCCAGCCAGTCTTGGTCCCACGGTTGCTCATAATTCAGCGACCTACTCATCTATGGCTGAGACGTCACCTGGGTTGATGCCCTCTTGGGCCCTTTGCCTTCGACCTTCCTAGGGTCCAGAATGAGCCCCCAGAGTCACCCAGGGGCTCCGAAGCCCCTCAGCACTCAAGTCAAGGGTCAGTGGCCTGGGGCACATCTGTGGGCACCTACTGTGTGCCAAGGCCCAGCGCACAGCCAGATGTATAATCGTACCCACTGGTGTGTGCTGAATGTATAAATGGCTGTGTGAACAAATGAATGAACAAACAGCCCTGCCTCACCTTGAACCCTGCCACACGACCACCTACAGTTCTGACTTCCCTTAGACCAGGCGTCACCCGACCCTCTCCAGGCCAAGGTGAAAGTTGAGAGCCTGGGAGACTGGGAATGTCGGCAGTCACCCCCCCTCCCGGGGCCCAGCCGCAGGGTCTGTGTCAGCCCCTCTCCCCCCGGGTGAGCCCCACTCAGTCTGTCGCCGTCTCTCCTCCACTTGCCCCGCAGGGAGGCTATGCAGCCTACAGATACGCTCAGCCCGCCGCCGCCGCGGCCTACAGCGACAGGTAAGGCTGGGGGCGGGGAGCTCCTCCTGGGGCAGGATGGGAGAGATAGAAGGGGTCCCACTAGGGCTGGGCACAGACAGAAAGCTTTACCCACCGTTCAGGGCCTGGGGTGCCTGCACCTGTTGGGTGCGGGTCAGGGCAGGAGGGCAGGCCCAAGTGTGGCTTGGAGACTCTCGAGTTAATAAGCCCTGACCTAAAAGTCACTTCTGCTTGCACAGCTGGGGAGGCCATGGAAACGCCAGTTCTCAGGGAGCAGACAGCATCTGATTCCCAACCCTGGAGGTGTGGCACCCCCTCCCCCAGCTCTGGAGGCCCCAGGTGCTAATCGTAGCTTCTGCCGGGACACACATCTGCTCCTTGTCAGTGCGGCCTGGGGGAAACCCTCTGGCTCAGAGAAGGGAAGGCCAGTGTGCCCATGTCCCTCCTCCTGTGGGGGCAATGGGCCCAGGCTGGCGATATGGGCCGCGTGCACTCACCCAGGTGGTGGGTGGCTCTCTTTGTTTGGGGCTGGGGTGTGCAGGTGTTCAGGTGTGCCCCAGGGAATGACCTAGTCTAGTGCCTTTCTCCTTGGGCATTCGGCCTGCTGGCAGCTGGCAGCAGAGTTCCTGTTTGTGCGAGTCTCTGTGTCAGGTGTGCGGTGGGCGTTTCATCAAGGGGGGCTGCTGCTTGTGTCTGCAGGGCCCCCTCTGGCCTGGGGCCCACCTGGCCCGCCCTCCCTCCACACCCTCCCTGCAGCCTCTAGCTCCAGCTCCTTGCAGGTGTGCCCTGTCCTCTAAGAAGCTGAGATTTCCCTGCACAAATAAATTAGGTGAGGCCAGGTGCAGTGGCTCACACCTATAATCCCAGCGCTTTGGGAGGCCCAGGCTGGAGGATCACTTGAGCCCAGGAGTTCCAGGCTGCAGTGAGCTGTGATCGTGCCACTGCGCTCCAGCCTGGGTGACAGAGCGAGACCCCGTCTCTATAAATAAATGAATGTGAGAGGAAGGTCATCAGAGGCAGTGCCAGCTCCTTGGTCTGCCCTATTGGGTTTCCCCCTCTTGTCTAGAAACCCTTCCCAGCACTTTGCCCTGTTCCTTCTGGGCATCAAGGTTCATCTTCCCTCCAGATAAGCCTGTGTAGACCCCTCTTCCGTGCAGCTCTGAACAGAGCATGTTGCCCATCATCAGGGCCGGCACCTGCTGGCAGAGTTGAAAGGGTGGCCTGTGTGTTCCAGAAACGTCCTTCCAAACAGGCAGGAAGGATGGGTCGTGTGGGGTTGGGGGCCTTGCAGGTGGGACCCTGCCGGAGGATGGGAAGTCTGGGTGGGGGCGGGAGGCTGGCGCCAGCCCTCACCTGCCCCCGGCACTCTTCCCCAGTTACGGCAGAGTGTACGCCGCCGCCGACCCCTACCACCACACCATCGGCCCCGCGGCCACCTACAGCATCGGAACCATGGTAAGGAGCTGAGGACCCGCCTGGTCCTTGGCGCCAGTCCTGACGAGTTGGGCATGGCACTGCCTCGGGTGGGCGGGCAGAGCCCTTAGGAGGGAGGCCAAGACCTCCTCTGACCAGTGCCTGGCTCTGGCGACTTTGGAAGGCCCAGGGCCTGCGGGGAGAGAAGGGCTTGCCCCTTTGCACCCTCTCTCAGTCGGGGGGATGCAAGGCGGACTGTCTGCTCCTCTGGGAAACGTCCTCATGTATCCACCCTGTTTTTCTGAGTCCCATAACCAAAGTCACGTTAAGGCCTCTCCATTCCCACCACCAGGAAAACCCAAGAAACCAACCCAGGGCCACCTCTGCTGCCCAGCAACCCAAAGGCCAGAGGGCTGTTTCTGCCAGTGTGGCCTCCCTTCCCTTCCTGGGTGTGCCCCAGGCATGCCCCTCTGTCCCTCCCCCAGCTCCTCCAAGGCCACACAGCTCCTTGCTCCTCAATAGGAGGGGAGCACGGCCACCCACTGCTTCTCACCACCCCCTGGACTCCTCAGGGCTCCTGGGGAATCCCGCAGGCTGTGGGGTGCAGAGGGCAGCATGGGAGGGGCCCCCAACGGGCCGCGTGTCTGTGTGTGTGTGTATGTTCGGCCAGCTGGCGACACATGCAGCCCAGCTCACTCTGAACCCAGATGTCTTCCGGCGTTCACCCTCCTCCTGAGCCCCCTGCCCCCAGCCCGGGGGGTGTCAGTGTTGGTTCCAGCTAGCTTGGCAGCCAGCATCAAAGATGAAAACGTGTCGCATTGAGTAAGGAGGGAGGAGGTTTGGAGGCAAAAAGGATTTTTCTCCATCTCCCTTGGGCTTTATTACTCCCTCCCAATTCTTGTTTTGCTGTTTTTTATTTTTAACAAGCCTTGGATGTCCCAAGTAGCCTGCGGTGGCCGCTGGCAGCCATGGGGAGCAGCCCTGGGCCAAGCCCTCCTGGACGGGCCCGATGCCGGGGCGCACGGGCCTCCCCTGCAGCCACTGGCCACACGCCTTCACTAGCACAGGGGGTTCCCTCTTGCGGTTTCCTTTTATATTTAAGATTTTCTATTTTTCCCCAACTTTTCTTCTCTTGTACTTGTTTTCTTCCCTTTTCTGGCAAAACTGGTGAGTGGGGCGGGAGGCTCCCTTGGAGCCCTCCCTGACTGGGGGCAGCCCAGAGCTTGGGAGAGCAGGGGCACCCAAGACCTGTCCTCCCCAGCAGGACACGGGGCCAGGCCTAGGCTGGACCCAGGAGGACCCAGGGACCTCTGTGGGCGTCCCGGCAGCCCCCAGAGACAAAGCCCTTAGGGCTGTGCCCAGTAGGTGTGCCCCTCCCAGGGGTGCTGGCTTCACTGGCCCCAGGCTCTTGAGCCAAGTCCCAGGGACTGGTCAGCATGTCCCTCCACCCTCTCTGGTCACCCTGCGTGGTCTGCTGGGGCACTGAGGAGGTGGGGCTGCCGCTGGGACCTCCCACAACCTGAGGGCAAATGGGGCCAGGCCTGAGCCCAGAGACACGACCAAGAGACATCTCAAAAGCTTGTGAGCCAGAAGCCCTTGGCTGATGGCCCTGGAGCGCCCCTCCTTACCTCAAGACCACCACCCCCCATCAGAAATAGGCCCTGCCCCTCGTGTTGCCATGACAACCCAACGCCCTTTTTCCTCCCCAAGGAATATTGTAAGGGGGGAAGAAAATGGGACTTAGCTATTTCTCTTTTTGTTTTTCCTTATTTTTTTTCTTTTTGCTTTTTCCCCCCTACCAAAAGACGGTACTGATTGGCTGTTTTTCATCTTTGATGTTGCAGGCTAGCCTCTGCCGAGGAGGGTACAGCCGCTTCACCCCCTACTAGCAAGAGACCCAGCCCCTAACAGCATTCACACTGACTGCCTATTACAAACCAAACCCAACAGTCCAAACACCAGGCACAGCCACCAGGAAGACAGTGCGCCCCTCCCGGTCAGCGACACGCTCCGCTGGCCCTCCGCGACTCTAAAATCCATACATTTTTATCTCCAGCCAGCTGGTCTCCCCACCCCACCTGTGATGGTGTGTGTGTCTTTGACCCTGGTTTTTCCTGTATGTCTGAAACCTTGATTTCCTATCTTGCCTTTGTTGGTGTTGTGTCCCCTGAGTCATTTCAGGTACGGTATGCACCTAGCGGGGGCCAGGCCGGGGCCGAAACCAGGCAGCCCTCCCCAGGGGACTAGCAGCAGCGCCCTGTGAGGGCCACACCTGTACTCTGGCCCCTCCCCTGGCGACAGCACCCTGATACAGGGAGGGAGGGGCTCCAGGCACCCCAGGCAGGGTCTCCAGCCTGCCAGCACTCCTGTCCAGACCCTGCCCAGCTAGTCACAGGAGTAGCCGCCTCCCCCTCCCCTCCTCACCCCATTCAGCTGAAATTAATATTTTTAATTAAATTTTATTGACGACTTTCCTGCTGTAATCACAAGCATGTCACATGGTGTGCAGATTGCTGTGGTCACCCCTGTCTCCGTGACTCCTCAGCACTGCTGTCTGAGAATGGGCGTGTGGGCAGGCCTGTCCCTGCCTCTCCACGGAGCGCCTCAGCACTGCCAGGCGGGCCCAGGCCAGCCTCACACTGGGTGTTTGTACTGGAGCCACGGCCCACCCTCCATGTCCCCACGATCTGAAATGCCTTTATCAGAGTACATTTCAGAGGGGCCTCAACAGGGGAGCCGTGAGGCCTTCCTGAGCCAGCCAGCTCCTGTCAGCCCGGCCCCGGAGCCCATGTGCAGGGGCCTGGGGGCTGTCTCAGCCCTGGCACCCACCCACCCAGCCCTGGGAAGCTGCTGGCTGGGCCCTGTGGTCCTGCCCAGCGCTGGGGAGCTGCTGGTCCCTGGGAAATAGGCCAAGACAGGGGAGGTCCTTTCTGGGCTGGCCGGGGCACGTACTCGCACCTCTGTGACGGGAGCATACGGCCCTGGACTCTGAGTGCGCCAGGCTGGGCTTCTGGGGCGGGAAGGCTGGCTGCAGGGTGTGGGCTCCCTGCCAGCCAGGGCTGAGGCCCCGCCGCCCACACCTCACCTTCAGCCATCTCTCAGGCCACCGCAGCCCACACTGCCCCAGCCTCTGCAGGCGCCCTGCCCCGCTGGTCCTCCACCAGGCCTCGCCCGCCGCAACCCAGGCGGCCCCTCCCAGCCAGGTCCGCTGTGGCATCTCCTTCCCGCTACCCCGGGCTGCCCAGGCCCCATCCTGGCCCTGCCCTCTGCCCGCCCCGCCGTCCACACAGCCCCGGAAGACACGGGTCCCAGCAGCTGGGGGCAGGTGTGGGGGCAGCAGGGCTTGAGGGCGGCCGTTGCCCTCGCGGCCTGCCTGAGCTGCTCCTGAGAAACTGCAAGTCCTGCCTTTCTGTTTCTGTTGTAGTGAAACCTTCCACCGTTTCCTTCTCGGACCATGAAGGGCAAAAACAAAAAAACAAAAAAAATCACAAAACAAAAAACAAAACAAAAAAAGATGTTAAGATCCAAGCAACAAAAAAACAACCAAACCAAGAGGCATCCAACCAAGTCCAAGTCCCGCGACCCGGCCGCACACCCGCACCGAGGGAGCACGTCGGCAGGGGGCGCCACGGAGCGCGGCCCAGGGACAGGACGGCCCCCACGTGTCCCCCGCCCCTGCCTGGCTGGCGGAACAGTGGGGAGTTGGAGGGGATGTGTGGGGGGCTCCGTTTTCTATCCGGTCTTCCTTTCCCGGCCCCCCACTCCCAAGGCCATGGGGCCTGGCGGTGAGCAGGCCCCGGGCCTGAGCAGGGAAGAGGTGGCCAGCAGGACTTGCTCTCTGCTGCCAGCTGTGCCAGTGGAGGGGACGTTTGGGCTGGGGGTGGGCGGGCAGCTTTTCATCCTGGGGGGTCTCCGCGGGCCCCGTCACCTGTGTTGCATCCTCTGTGCCCCGACACCCTCAGCCTGGTGAGGTGGCCATCCGACCAACAGCCCTGGGGTCCGACTCCAACAAAAAGGGCTGATGTGGCTGCAGAACTCTCGGTGCCCCATGGCCTGCCCTGCGTGAGCACGGAGGGAGCCCGGGCCAGGTGGCTCGAGGCCAAGGACCTGTCTGGAGGGTCCCTGGGCCTGTGTGTGAGACCAAAGGCCAACCTCATGCTGCCTGCAGGGACCCCGCCCTCCCCTGGGAGCCCTGTCATGTGGGGGGCACAGGGCCAGGAACAGGCCAGCGCCGGCTGCACGAGGCTGGGAGTCCCAGCACTGTGGTCTGGATGGCCAGGGCAGGGCCCCGCAGGAGTGAGGGCCAGGGAGCCCAGCAGCCATGGCCCCCTCCCAGGCAGGCGAGAGGGTGGGAGGGCAGGAAGGGCAGGTGGTAGGTGACAGGCAGGGAGAGCTGGGGGAGGGAAGCAGCAAAAAACTACAAAAATAGCTCCCAACATGGCTCCACTGTCTCATGAAACGTGAAAAATTTAAAAAATACACCTCACTTTATATTCAGCATCAGCTACTGAAGCTACCGGAACGGAATCCTCCTTTTCTATTCCCGTTGTACATAGCCCCGCGCCCCGCCTCCGCATCCTCTGTACAGAGCCCCCGCCCTGCTGTCCACACCCTTTTCTTGCAGCAGCTCGACCCCCAACCGGACCCCCAGCCCGGACTGCAGCCGAGCCCCGGCTTCCTTTCTTACCATTCTGTATGCTTCCAAGGTGTGACCATTCAAAGTAACAGTATTACTAAGATTATTAATAAAGATTTCTTTCTTCAAACCAGGACAGCTCTTTATGGTTTGGCAGCTCCGGGCTCGGTGGGTGGAGGACACAGGAGGACCAGGGGCAGGACGGGACCCCACGCTGACACCGCCCTAAGCCAGGTGGCAATGGGGAGTTAGAAGGCCCCTCCAGGCAAGAGGCTTTAAAGCCCCAGTCCTCTCCTCCAAGAGGAGCAAGAGGCTGGCCCTCTGCACCCCATCCCAGGACAGGCAGGGGCTCCCCGGGACCCTGAGGTAGAGGACAGCCTTGGTCCCTTCTCCCCTGAGCCAGGCACAGTGCCAGGCACAGCATGACCTCCCTGGAGCAGAATGCACCCCAGGAGGCAGGAGGGTTAGGCCAGGTGACCCTGCAGCCACCCTCAGCTGTCTGCCAACTCAATGCAAGAGAGGGTGCAGGGGTGGGGTCGTCTGTGGCTGGTGCTCAGGCCAAGCTGGGGCCTGCAAGGAGCTGTGCTACTTCAAGGTGTCCCCCACTCTTCCAGCCACTGGCTGTGAGTCCCCACTCCCAGAAAGGAGGGCAGGAACCAGGGCAGAGCGAAGAGGGACACAAGAGGGAAGCGGCAGAACCCTCCAGAGCCCAGAAACATGGTGCTGCGGCCCAAGCCATTCCAGACTGAGCTGGGCCACACCCCCCATCACACAAAGACGCAAGTTCATTTTCACAACGTTGGATAATTTATTTCAGCGCGATTACACCCACCGGAGGGGCACAGGCTTAAGTGCTGGCACATTAATTTTCCCGTACACAAGCCGTCGCTGTTGGGGTTGGGGACCACGCTCTTGGGGAGCCGGGGTGGTGAGACTCTGCTGCACGCCACGCTCTGCTAAGCCCCCTGACTCCTAATTGCTTGTGCACCAGACTGAGAGAAAATAATTGCCACTATAAATTTTCCCTCCTCTGCATAAAATATTCAGGGCAACAGGCACTTTAAAAAGACAACTTCGTGCAATAAGGGAAGCAGTGATCATGCGGCGCTGCCCAGCCCTGGAAGCCTGGCCTGCCCTGCGCCCGCCCCTGGGCACGGAGTGGGGCCAGGAGTCCCCCAGCCAGAACAGGCCACGGAACTGCTCTGGGTAGCAGCGGACAGCAGAGGGCTCTCCCCTCATCCTCGGCAAACTCATTTCCCCTCCCGGGGCTGAGCTGCCGGGGCCACACAGGAGACACAGGACAGCATTCCCAGTTAGGAAAGAGCACAGAGCCCCTCGGCCCAGGGCTCCCTGCCCGGTTCTTGGCACACGAGCACCCAGGAGAGCAGGGAAGGTGGAGAAAGGCCAGCTGCAGCCCCTGGAAGGGGACCTGGCACTCAGAGCACGTACAGGCACCGAGTACCCTCTCGGGACAGGGAAGGGGTATGGCGGGCCTGCCCCAGTGGCCTCCCCACTTACTACGGGGAAAGTCAAGTCTGAAGATGCTGGGGTCACAGAGCATCCCAGCCCTTGGCTCCGCCCCACACCACAGGAACAGGACTGGCAACGGGAAGGTAACCCTGACTGGCCCTATGTCGCCTACAGGTGAGAGACCCTCCCCAAGAGCAAGGGACGTCAGGCCTTTGACCCTGTCAACCACAACAGACCTCGCCTGCATGGGGACCGGAGCAGACAGCAGGGAGAGGGCCAGCAGGGTCACCCAGGGCCATGGGGTCTGGACACCACTGTCAGGAGCCTCCGGGGCAGCCCAGAGGTCAACAGGGAGCTGTGGCTGCGAAGCCTCCAGCTCCCCCATGGCCTCCTGCGGAGTCCATGCAGACCCACCCGCCTGGGCAGAGGGGGAGGAGGGCTCAGAAGAAAGACCAGGAAAGAACAGAGAGGACAGGACGCGGTGGGGAGGACCTGCCTCCCGCACGTTCCCATGCATCTGGGCCAGCGCCTACACAGGGGGCCGCCTCTAGGTCTCCCCGGGCCTTGGGGGAGGCTCAGAGGGGAGGATGTGAAGGAACAAAATAGCTGGAAAAGCCCCACTGGGTCCCAGAGCATCCGCACACAGGCTGGGCTGGGCTGGGGCCGATGCCCGAGCCTGAGGGAAGCTGCTGTGGAGCCGGCAGTGCCGGCCTCAGTGCGAGCTTCGCCCAGCGCTGCGTGCCGCGTGCCTACGGCCTGGGGAGACGCAGCGGCGCTGGGGCTGGTGCGCACCCTCCAGAATGAGTTCAGGCTCATAGGGACGCTGTAGGTGGCCTGCCCTGCCCACGTGGGGATGGAATGCCAGTGCCAGCCCAGCCCTGAGCGCCCATGCCCAGGGAGAATGGGGCCTTTCCGCAGGGCACCCTCTCCCGCCACCCTGCAGTGGCCCATTGTCAGCCCGGAACCCTCTCGGGGCCTGCCGAGGCCCTCCTGCCACAACCCAAGCTCCTTCCTAGGCAATCTGCAGGAGGAGAGTCCCATTCTCAGAACAAAGACCTTTCAGACTGTTAGGAAATATCCTTTATGGAATTTTCTGGACTAAACTTCCTCAAATCCATTCATTTTGTCCTGGGAACTATATACTATGGAGCGAAATTAGAAACAGAAGGCCATTCATCTTGGAATTATCAACTCAGCAAACCCACTTCTGGGCCGTCCTGTTACCAGTGCCCCACCAAAGAGCCACAGCCAGGGGCCCAGCCTCCCGAGGAGGGAGGGTCTCCACCCAGACCCTGGGACCTGGGCTGGCCACCAATGCCCACTTGACAGGCGCAGGCCAGGGGCAGAGAGCCGGGAAGGAACCCCAGTCTGAGGCCAGCAGACGGCGGCGCTTTGACGTCGCTCACGCGGGGGCTGAGTAGAGCAGGACTGTCCGGCCCCACTCGGCCTGCGGTACCAGGAACCCTTCCCTGGGGACGGGCTCCACCAGGAACTCCACACGGCCTTCCTGGCCGGGCCCCACAGCGTCCACCGGCAGGTCCACTACCCGGTACTGGTTGGCAAAAGCCAGGCCCAGGAGGGTGGGCTTCTCTGGCCACAGCGGCTCCCTGCCGTGAGAGCCTCGCCCCGCCCCGCTCCAGTGGTGGATGCGGAAGCAGCGGACTTGGAGCAAGGGGTAGGACCAGTGCAGGGTGCAGCTGAGCTGGAGCTGCACAGGGGCGGCCTGCTGCCAGCGGGTGTGCGTGACAGTGACCGCCTGCACCTGGGGCAGAGGGGACAGCAGGCTGTTGGCATCCACCACCTGGCAAGAGAGAGCGGCTCAGCAGGCGGGGCCCAGGGACGGCAGGACGGCTCCCCAACGGCACGCCCCCACGGCCTGACTCCACCCCAACTGCCCCCCCGAATCCCCCACCGGCCTCCAACGGGACAGACATCTCTGCCTGAACCCCTCTGGGACGCATCACCTGGATCTCTCCCAGGCGACAGACGAAGCTCTCCTGCTCCTGGCTGCCCGGCGGCCGTGAGAAGCTAACGAAGAGGTCCAGCAGGAGGCACCCGCGCAGGCTCAGCTCGTAGCAGCTGGGGGAGGAGAGCAGGCCCATTATAGGCCTCGCCCCGCTCCAAGGCTCCCTCGCCAGCTGTTCAGAGGCCCCAAGCCACAGCAGAAGGGAACTCCGTCCCAGAATAGACCCTGGGCCCATGTAAGGCAGGTCCCCATGACAACCTTGAACCCCAACCCTAACACTCGAGTGTCCTGGGCTCTCAGAGCTGCCCGAACTGGGAAGGTCAAACCCAGAGCCCCTCTGTCCCTCCAGTTCTGGGGTTTCCACAGGAGACCCTCACTCCTCCAGTCCCCACCTCAGTGTGGCCGTCCCCTCCTGGGCTCTCAACAGGAAGCAGAGGGCCTTACCGCTGGACCCAGCCCCCGCTGAGCGGCTGGCCACAGCGGCCCGCCCATCTGGCCAGCTTGGTTGGGGGCACCCGGAGGGGTCGGGGACTGTGTCTCGAGCTCATTTCTGCAGAAGGAGAAATGGGACTTGAAAGAAGAGCCTCCCAAAGGAAGACGCACAGGGAGGGACACAAGGGTCACTCGTCCTGGCTTCTCCCAACTTGCCACGCCCCCTCGGTGCCACAGCCGGCAGGACGCCCCTGTCCAAGCCGCACAAGACGCTGCACTGCCTGATGAGGGCCCAGGACAGAGGTCTGGGCTGAGAGCTGAGTCCTCCCTGTCCAGGCCTGGACCACGGCTGCCCTGACTCCAGCAAACGCAGGATTTGCCCGACACGGTCCACGCAGGCTCCCACACACCCCCGTGAGCTTTCTACACTTTTCTCCCCAGGGGCCACCCATCTCCTCACCATTCAGCACTGAGATGCCACCAACGTGACAGCTGCTGATGTCCCCTGTGGTCAGCTGCAAAGCAACCCCGATATCCGTAGGCCCTTCAAGCTTGTAGACCATGGACAGGAAAATTTTGGGCGGCACTGGGACCTGCAGGGAAAATAACCTGCAGGAGAACAGCCCATGGCGAGAAGCTTGGAGAAGCTCCGAGGAGAGACGGAGGCAGCCCCACACAGTCTCCGCCACCCTCTGTCCTCTGGGAGGGTGTCTGGGTGGCAAAAGCTTCCACATTCTGGTCCTGCCTACAGCCAGGAGACAGGTCCTCTCCCAAGGCCAGATTCTCTCACGGGCTGAAAAACGGCAGTTCCGAAACGTTGCATGATCCCCCCATGAGGAGTCCGGTGCAGTCGGACTCATGGACTCAGAGGACAGAGGGTGGTCTCCAGGGACTGGGAGAGGCGGGACGGGTAAAGTTTCAGTCTTACGAGATGACAAAGTTCTAGAGGAACTGCTGCACAACAACATGCCTATAATCAACATTCTCGTACTGTACACTTACAAATGATGAAGATGGTACATTTTTTATATTATGCATTTTTGACCACAATTTTAAAAAAATAATAATCTGGATCCGTCCTCTGTCCTCACTCTGGCTTCCACTGCCCCGTTTGCCCAGCTCTGCAACCACCATGGGTGAGGGGAGACGCTGGTGGGCCCGCACACCCCCCGTCACTCACCCACCTCACGGCCACATTCCCAACCTCGGGTGGGATCGTGCCCCGGAGAAGCAGGGAGCTGCCCCCGTGCCAGGCGTCCACCAGGCAGCAGTACGTCTTCACCCAGCCGCCACCGTCCCCTCCCAGCCTGTGCTCTCCGAACAAGGGCTGGATGTCCTGCGCGCTCGGGTGGTACCAGGGCCCCACGGCCTCCTCCTGAAGGGCAGGAGGGGGCTCAGTGGGCGCCAGCAGAGCAGGCCCACAGCGTGGAGGCGCAAGGCCGCCGCGCTCCCCTGGCACACCTGAGACTCCTTCCGCCCAGCCCAGCCGTGGCCAGAGGACAGACGGAGGAAGGGCAGCCCCTCGGCCGCCACACGGCACCCGACCCACACACCTGGCCATAGCAGACTCTTCGTGTCCCCATGCCCAGGCAGAAAGACGTGACAAAGGGCAAGGAGCAGATGCTGTGTGTGGGCAGGTGGCGTTCCAACAGACTCCAGAACCTGCCGGAGACACAGGAGGCCACAGCTCAATCTAGAGCAAAGTGGCCTTTCACGTCCCTTGAACTCACTGGTTGTAACTCAAGGCTCCCCTGCACCCTCCAAGACAGGCCTTCCGGGAGCACTGCGGCTCCCCGGCGACGGGCAGGCCAGAGGCCAGTCTGTGGGAAGTGGCTGCTCAGGGTCAGTCCCCCACCTGGAAGCAGCCAAGGTCCCTTCATCCTCCTTTACCAAGCCCTAGATGGAAAGGGCCACTGAAGAGCAAGGCCGGGAGCCACCGCCAGCAGCCAGAGGAACCCCTGCCCTACCTGCCTCCCGCCCCCTTCGGCGCAGGACTCACTTGTCCTGGTTCTGGAAGAAATCTCTCTTCTCCAGACACTCATACACCCAGCCGGGAGCAAACAGAGCCGCCGAGAACCCGTGCTTGCGGATCAGCTCCAGCGACTGGGGAGACAGAAGTCAGGGGATGCCTGCCACCCACAGCCAGGGTCCAGACAGGCTCCTGGGCGCCAGGGACACGGGATGGGGGCGTCTCTCAGGGCCAGCTCAGAAAGGGAAGAGGCGGCTGTCCACACCCCTGCTCCCAACTCCCCCTGGGGCTCGGGGTTCATCCCATCGGCCCACAGCTGGCCAGAGGAGGGCCCTAGAGGAGCTGGGCGGTGGGCAGAGGTGCTGCTGGGGGCAGGGGCACGGGACGGGGACACTAACTGGCCGCTTGCCTGCTGCCCCGTCTCCCTCTCATATACGCCTGCCTCTCATTATTATCAGAATCACAGGGGTAAAGAGAATACTCGGTTACTGGATTAATTTATCCATTTAAAGCTTAATTAACGACTGAGAGCTTCCCCGTGGCCCCAGGAAGGGGCAGGACTGACGGGCCAGGACACAGGCAGGCTCCTGTTCCTGCTGCGCCAGGCATCGCCCAGCCGCCCCCGCCCCTGCCCCGCTAATGTGACCTGCCTTGCCAGAAACTTCTCACTGGTTGTTACACCAGCCCGAGGCAGGGAATCTGTGGCCTCAAGGCCACATGTGGCCCCACAACTTGATCCAAACTTCACAGAAAAAAATCCCTTATTAGAAGGATCTGTTCTGTAAAATTTAGATTCAGTCAACAGGCCGCACTCAAGGATCGGAAGGCCACACGTGGCCCAAGGCGGCGGGTTCCCACCCGTCAGGACGAGAGTCTGCCCTGGAGGTAAGAGGTTGGTCCACAGCTTGTCAGAAGGAGTCGAGGCCGGCAGAGACCAGCAGCCATCAGAGCAGGACGCTTTTGTCCTGACTCCCCCATAAAAAGAAAAGGCCGGAAGTGAGGGTTTCCGCTGAGCCACAGCTTGGGCTCAGAGCAGTCTGCCCACGTTTCTCGGTGCCTCAGTTTCCCCACTCTGGGAAGAACAGCTGCTGCCTCTCTTTCCCTTGAGGTACAGACGAGAACAGGTCTACGAAGAATCGAGACCCCAGGGGGGGCACACAGGCCACTGGCTCTCTGGGCAAAGGCCTCCACGCACCTTGTTCGTGTCAAACTGGCCTCCGACCACCTTCCCTCGAGCAAACACGTCCACGCCCACGTACACGTCGGCCAGGCGCTCCCCCGCCTGCCGCACCATCCGCTCCAGGTGCTCCTCCCGCCAGTTATAGTTGGTGAAAAAGCCGTCGCAGGAATCAAAGAAAACCCTGAGAGGTGGCAAGGACCTGCCGTGAGACCCAGTCCTGAGGGGACGGTTCCCAGCCCCTCCCTCCCCAGTGCTCAGAGTCACTCACAACTCACAGCCTGGGGTGCCTCCAGGGCCCAGAACAGCACCTGCACCCAAAGAGCAGGGCCAGCCTGCCAGTCTTCACCTGTGACCCTCGGCACGGCACTACCGTGTCGGCTGATGACCAGGACAGGAGACAACTCTGTGCCTTCTCCCTCTTTTTCCCCAAAGCAGCCACACGTGCACTGCTCCCAGGAGGCGCCGCCCCACAGGCTCACCTGTTCTGCTCGTTGAGTTCATCCTGCCACTTGAGCTGCCCACTCCGCACCACACTGTCATACCAGAGCACCAGGCCCCCTGGGACCTGCTGATGCAGCTGCGTGGTCAGGTACCGGAGGAAAGGAGGTGTATTCCCCACGGCAGCCAGCTGGGAGAGGGGAATGAGGACAAGACCCCGGGTGAGGCTCAGATACGTCGGTCATGAGAGGTATACAGCCAGGACAGACAGGAGGACACAAGAGCAAACAGATCCACAAACAGAGCCAAGGTCCCGAAAACCCCTCGGCCCCCAGCTGCCAAGAGGGCGTCCAGCCAGATGAACGACTTTCTGCTGCAGCAGGCGGAACACGAACACAGGGATGAGGACAGATAGTGCACTCAAAGGGGAGGGTGCCAGGAAAAGCAGGCCCACATCCAGCCCAGGCAGAGCAGCGGCGGGAGGAAGGGAAGGTGTGATCACACGGCAAGAGTGGGACAAGCAAGAGCCCAGCCAGGCCAGCTTTCTGGAAACAGAGCTGGAGAGGATTCCGACTCACTGCAGAGTAACCAAGATTTCAGCCTTGGCTCTGCCTGGGAGGCAGCAAGTGGCTCCTACTGGCAGCCTGCGGCCCAGGGACAGCAGTGCGGGACAAGGTGAGCCCAAGGGAAGAAGGGAGGCAGACAACAAGGCAGCAGGGGGCGGGCTGGGCTGGGCCACACTCACACTCAGTGAGTTCTCGATGTTGATCAGCCAGCCATCGAAACGGAAAAACTGAGCGATCTGTACGAGCCGATCAGCCACTGCCTGGTACGAACCCTCGTCCCCAGCCAGGAAGGCTTCACAGAGCCTCCCCCCTTCGCTCCACTCCGTGATGAAAGTCCCTGTGAGGACAGGAGAGAAACGAGGTCAACCACAGGAATCACTTTCCCTCTGACCTCAAGGAGTTTGCAAAGTGGGGTTCCTAGGCCCTCAACATCAGTATCACCTAATCACTTGTTAGACATTCAAATTCTTGGGCCCAGTCCCCAGATACCTAGTGAGTCAGAGGCCCTGGGCTATAGGCTGTTGAGGCTGTTCAGGCTGAGGTTGAGAAGCAGTGTTCCAACCCAGGGGTCTCCAAACCATGGCCCGTGGGCCAAAGCCCACCAACCGTGTTTGTAAATACATTTCACTGACCACAGCCTCACCCATCTGTGTGCCTGCATTCGCGTCAGTCACTACAACAGTGACACAATGGCCTGCGAAACTGAAAATATTCACTCCCTGGCAGTGACAGCCTGCAGACGCCTGTCCTCACCCACCCAGGCAGCCCCAGGGGAGGAGCTCCACTCACTAAGCAGCAAGGCCAGAGCCACCTGATCACTGGGTCACCCGGGCAGGTGTGCTACCGAGTCTGGCTGAGTCGGAGGTGCGTCCTTGGCCCTTACCCAGCACGCAGACCCCATGCCTGTGGGCAGCATTGGTCCAGCCTACCGGGGGAATGGTGACTGTGTGGTGGCTGAAGTACACGAAGATGTCAATGTACTGCCAGTGGTAGAAGGAATAGGGGTTCTGCACCGCGGTGCCCTGAATAAACCTGGGTGAAGAACAGAACAGAGTCAGGTCCCAGGAAACAGAATAAGGACACAGTGACCTCAAGGTGACAAGAGGGCAACCCCAAAGGTTTCCCTTAGTTTCCGTTCAGGGACACTGAAAGCCTGCAATACCCAGGCCCTGTGCAGGTGGAGAGCGAGGCAGGGACAAGCCAGTGTTCTCGCAGCCATAGGAAAACGTTTTCACCAGGGCACTAGATGTCTGCCATTGCATCCAGATGCACTGAGCACTTAGCCTCAGTGAGCAGACAAAGGGGAGAGGAAAGGAAAACAGAAGGTCCGTGTCAAAGCTCCAAGTCCCCGGCTTCCCACTCTATGCAGAGAGGTGAACAGCCCCTCTAGGACAGTCTGCCTGCATTTGGAGGCCGGGGCTGACAGCCACGTGAGCTGCACCCAAGGCTTTGTCACCTTTCTCTGTCTCTACCTTGAGGGCAGGCTCTGACTCAAGCCTTCCCACCAACCATAATACTCAAGACTGTTTTAGGGACGTTTAAAAGCTCTAGGCTGACTCCATGGCAACTCTGGATGGAATGTCCACAGCTGGCAGAGGGAGGGGCATGCGATGGCTCTGCGCATCAGAAGCCAGAGCCCACTGACCCAGGACAGGATCAGAGCTGAATGAAGACAGTCACAGAAATAAGACCAAGTGAAGACACGAAGCCCTGGGCCAGGCAGTCTGGGGACAACCCCTACTGTCATGCCCTCACCAATTTACCAGGCTTCAAGTTGAAGCAGTGTGAGAGATCAAATGATTTTAGAGCTGAAAGAGACGGAAGATATTGCCTAATCCAATCCTCTCTTTTTACAGATGAAACGCCAAGGCCGACTTTCTCTCCCAGCCAGTGCAGAGCCCGGTCTAGACGCCGCACCTGACCCCCATCTACCTGGCACTCTCTCCCTCCCTCAAGTCCCAACCTCAGGAAAACAAGCAACAAAACCAACGTGAGGCAAGGTCCTCACCTGTCGTCCAGGTACCCGCCCATCATGTCATGGCACAACAAGGTCCGGGGCCTCTGGCTGCTCAGAGGAGGCTGGCGGCGCTCCAAGGGCTCCAGGGCAACGTTAAAGCCGTCATCCATGTGTGGCGTCCACGCCAAGAGCTCCTCCAGCGAGGACAAGTAAAAGCTGGTAGGTGTGGTGGTGTCCTTGTCATAATATCTAACTAGCCCGAGGAGGGAAACAGTGAGGAATTCGTGGAAATTACAGGGTTAAAAGAAATGCTCTGATGACAACACGGAGCGAGCCCCCAAGGCCCAACCACGCAGACGCCCCTGGAGTGAACGTGGACACGGTGTCCGCAGCCTCAGCCTTCTTACCTGGCAAAGGAGCCGGCGTAAAACTGACCACTTCTCGAAAGACTGCCTCTTCTTCATCCTCCTCGATTCTAGGCAAAGAAGGAACTTTAAGTTAAAAATAAAAAGGGAGGCCGGGCGCGGTGGCTCATGCCTGTAATCCTAGCACTCTGGGAGGCCGAGGCGGGCGGATTGCTCGAGGTCAGGAGTTCAAAACCAGCCTGAGCAAGAGTGAGACCCCGTCTCTACTAAAAAATGAGCCGGGCATGGTGGTGCATGCCTGTAGTCCCAGCTACTCGGGAGGCTGAGGCAGGAGGATCACTTGAGCCCAGGAGTTTGAGGTTGCTGTGAGCTAGGCTGACACCACAGCACTCACTCTAGCCTGGGCAACATAGTGAGACTCTGTCTCAAAAATAAAAAATAAAAAGGTAAAGAACGCTCAGGAGCAAACAGCCTTGTTTCCCTGCATGTGGGGAGAGATGCTCTCTGGCTTACCCTATTTAACGTAAACTACAGAAACACGTGCAAATCAAGGACACCAGAGCGCCCTGACCGCGGGAGAGTCACCGTGGCTTCTGGTTGGGCACACGTGGCAAGGGCTATTCTCAAGAATAAACGCAGCCACCCAAATAGCTCACAGCAAAGATCAATATATATTAATTCTTCACGAGGCCCACAGGTTTTGCTACAGCCGAGGGGCAGGGAGCACTCTTCAGGTGCTAAGAGAGCAGAGGCTGAGCTTTCTCTGCAGGCGACCTTCCCACCGAGAATCCACGGAGCACTAACCGTGGCTGTTCGTGGATGGATGTCACAGGGGAAGAGAGTTCCTTAAGTTGGGAAACCCTGAATAAATCTAAATTAAACAGCTATCTTTTTACAAAAATTACTATTTTAAGAGTGGTGAGCAGACACTGGAGCAGCCCTTAACATGCCACGGACATCACACGTGAGATTTTCTAAGTCCACCGAGGCCACTTTTCTGTTCACTGGGGTACCATGTGCCAGCACCCCACTTGCATTCGGAGGCTTGTTGGCAAAGCTCCCCCCATAGGATCTCCCGACACGGAGCACTGCCCCAGGACCCCTGGAATGATACTGGGGAACCCTAGGAACTGCAGGGGGGTCTGTGGGAGGGGTGAGGACGATTCAAGTGGAGATGCCACAGAAGTCGCCCCTTTCCACTGTCCTCCTGTCCCAGCTCCCCTTGCTGATTTCACTACCTTCCCTCTGCGCCTCCAGGACCTCTCAGGACAGCCCTGGCCACACCAGTTCACCTCTGTCACCCGAAACTGCTCCACTAGGAGGGGAGGAGCCATCTCCACATTCCCCCTGACCAATAATCTCCCTCACCACCCGCCACCCTGCAGTCTGAAACACCCAACGGTCTCGCTGCTCCGGGCTTCCGGAAGCCACGTCTGTGCTCCTAACTTCCCCCGGCAGGCAGCCTGCTGACCAGGGGTCACCGGGTGGGCCAATGCCCCCAACGGGATGGAAGCCTGGCCCAGAGGGGCACGTTCGTCCCCTTCTGCCTCTGGGCCTTTGCCCATTCTGTTCCCTCAAACTTGACACCGTCCTCCCCCGCAGACTCAGTTCAAATGCCACCCCCGCAGGAAGTCGCCCTCTGCCCACCAGCAGACTCAGTTCAAATGTCACCCCCGCAGGAAGTCGCCCTCTGCCCACCAGCAGACTCAGTTCAAATGTCACCCCCGCAGGAGGTCGCCCTCTGCCCACCAGCCGGCATCTGCGGGCGCTGCCAGGGTGCGGCCCAGGCGCCAGGATCCCCGCGGGGCCGGCTTGCACCCGTTTCTGAGACGGGGGGCACCCTGCCCGGCCAGTCACAGAGGGCGCGGGGCGGGCGCCGACCGCTGTCCCCGCGCTGCCGCCTCCCCACCCCGCGACCGCACCTCTTCCCCGGCCGCCGCCGCCGCCGCCTCGGCCGCGGCCCCGACTCCTCCCGCGTCCCCGCCTCCGCGGTCGCCAGCTTTTCCTTTTTATCTCTATATGCCTCTCAGCTCACCCGAGTGACTGTGCCGGCTCTCATTACGGCCGGGCGACGTCGCCGCCCCTGCTTCGCGGGCGCCAGGAGCCAATCGCAGGCCCGGGCCCGCCCCCGCGCCGCGCTCGGCCAATGGGAAGTGTGCGGCGCGGCCGCGGCTCAGGCCAGGCTCCCGCGAACTCCGGGCGCGCGGCTCCGCGCCGGGACTTTGTAGCCCGGACCGGACGGGGGCGGGGCCTAGGGCTAGAGGCGGGGCTTAGGGCTAGAGGCGGGGCCTGGGGCGGTGGGCGGGGCCTGGGCTAGTTCAGAGCCCAGGGTCCTAGAAGGGGAGCTCTTCTCTGTAGCTTCTTGCTCTGGGCCTCCTT